GCGCTGCAAGTGAATCCAGCAAGTAACCGCCACTGCCCGCTGGAGCACGTGACCGCACGTGACCCCACCGCAAGTGCGCCGCAAGTGACTCCAGCAAGTGACCGCCACTGCCCGCTGGAGCAAGTGACCGCGCGTGAGCCCACCGCAAGTGCGCCGCACGTGGCCGCAAGTGACTCCAACAAGTAACCGCCACTGCCCGCTGGAGCAAATGACCGGACGTGACCCCACCGCACGTAGGCCGCAAGTGACTCCAACAAGTAACCGCCACTGCCCGCTGGAGCAAGTGACCGCACGTGACCCCACCGCAAGTGCGAGTGGCCGCAAGTGACTGCAGCAAGTAACCGCCACTGCTCGTTGGAGCAAGTGACCGCAAGTGACGGCAGCGAGTGCAAGTGACCGTACCGCCAGTGACCACAGTAAGTGACCCCTTAAGAGACTGCTGGAGCACGTGACCGAAGTGACCGCCACCGCGTGCTGGAGCAGGTGACAGCAAGTGACCACCACTGTCCGCTGGCGCAAGTGACTGCACGTGACCGCACCGCAAGTCGCCGCACTGCATGCGGTCACATTGGATGCTAGTATTTCATGCGCGTGAGATCGTTTCATGCGCATGGCATCATGTCATGCGCACGACATCATTTCATGTGCGCCTCATGATTTCATGTTCATGATCATTTCACGGGCAGAGTATTATTTCGGCTGCTGTTAATATTATTTCGGCTGCTGTTAGTAAAACTACAGTATTCCCATGAGAAGTATTACTTCATGCGCGTGACATCATTTCATGCGCATGACATCATGTCACGCGCGCGACATCATTCCGCGTGCACCGTATCATTTCATGTGCATGACATCATATATGCGCATGATAGTATTTTGTCTAATTTCATGTGCCTTTGTGAGTAGGTTGGTTGCTGTGACTCTGGTAAGCCTTGTTGCTGGTCATCGGTTGGCAGCTGGTGTTGTTGCTGGGGTGATTTTGCTTGAGCTTTTTGTGCTAATCGAAAATGTCAGGCTGCGCGACTCGTAGACTTGTTCCCCGGATAGCGACAGCTATGGGGTTCTTACTTCAAATAAGAATGACCTATGGCAAACACAGGTCAATGCAGTACATGGCTGAGCCAAAGAAGGCAACTGCGTAGGAAGGAAAAACCAAGTGCAGTGTCCGTGCTCTGAGGAAATCTTCATTTTGATTGGGTCTGCGCATTCGTGTTTGCAAGGGGGGCAACATATGTCACAACCTGGATCCATAAATTTCATGTTTTAGCCCTTGTACGGCGTCCCATTGTAAAGTCAATGAAAAACAGAATTTTGATGTTTTCCCTTTGAATCTTGTATGTGCGTCTACATGGTGGACTACAGCTTTCTTCCTCTAGGAAATACTGCTGGCCATATTGTTCGGAGATCTCATTTTTGAGCATTGCTCTGTTTGGGGTCTACGCTGGTATAATTCAAGACGAACGGATCAGCTGGAGTGGGTTGAAAAGTGGGATGGATGCTAAAAGGGGGTGAAGAGGGCTGAAGAGGGCTGCAGTACAGTATGTGTTCGAAACGCCTCCTCTGGAGATTGATTCGATGGGATTTGGTCCAGTGAGAAGCTGCCAGAGTCTGGTGTTGGACTCCGTGGACGAGATCGCACCAGGCCAATGGGGACTTGAATCTGAAGACCCGGAGTGGTGTGGCCCCGGTACACCTCGCCGTCCGGACACCCTGGGATGGCGACGACTCGGGCCAAGATGCAAGATGTGGGAGAGAAATGCACAAGAAGATGCTAACTGGTCCAACCAGTCAGAACACTGTGCTCTTCCTGAAACATTTTGACAATTTTAACAGATGCCTTGTTTCGACGTCAGGGGCCGAAAGGAGAGGGCTACCCAAAGGGTGGGATCGTGTGTGAAAGTGCACTTTTCCTCTTAGTCTGTGCAAAGGAAAACCCTTGTGGGAGGGATGTGTAAGTGGATGCTCTCCGAACCTCGAAATCGAGGGACCCAGCTGAATACTATACACGGTATTGGTGGAAATAGACATAGAGGAACATCCAAGAATAATGTTCATTGATTGTGGGTTGCCCCACCCTTTTGTTGACTTGCCAATGAACTCATGATCAGGCATTGGACTCCAACTCCCCCTGTTCAAATAGCAAGATCCAGGCATTACTCCTTCCCAAAACAACACCGCTCCTTCTAGGAATCCGGAGTTCATTTTGCAGTAGGAACTAGAATAGTCACCCTGCAAGAAGCATGCAACTACGTCACATTGAAATTATAGACCAAGACTTATATCAGAACAACTGAAGCCTGCAGCCCGTGTTTTCTGTGCATACACATAACTAGTGAGTATAACTTTAATATGCTTATGTCTCAGCGAGACGATCACGAGCTTGGATCGGGCCGATTGCGGCAGTATCCTGTCTTGGCTTTTGGTGACTCATGATCCTGTACAGTTTTGAGGCAGCATCTTCCTTGAAAAGAGAACCCTAGGAAAATTCCAGCAGCGAAATGTCACTTTCCGCAATGAGCCACGAATGAATCCAGGCCATTAGCGATCAATCAGCATCATTGGAGGCTGGATCTGGCCAGTGGTTGTGCCTTCAACACTGCTGCTTTGGTGTTCAGGATGCTTTGAAGGATGTGAAAGAAGAGCTAGATGGGACGGAGCATTGTCGGACGACTTTGAACAGCTGGTAGGTCTACACGACCCGTTCTTGAAGGAACCACCTAATTTTGCTCCAAAAGTTTGTTTCACAAGCCATATTTTTTCCCGGACTTTCTGAGAGCTTCCGGATACAAAGGGAAAGAGTCTCAACAGTCCTCAGGTGCTGAAGCAGTGCAGAGCCAACCTAGATATGCGCGGAGCTTAGAGAGCTTCTTCATGCAGTCGGACAGAGATTAGCTGATTAGCAGACCGGACAAAGTGAGTTTGCGCAAGGAATCGTGAGATACATATCTATATAATTATGTGGTGTTGTTCTCACCAAGTGCGATCTATACCAAGGTGTCGATGCATGGGCCGATCATCCGATCATGCACTTCTGGTTCCATGAAAAAAGGATTAACATGGTTCCCTTTTCACGTGAATTCAAGGGACTGGTTGTTTCAGGTCCAGAGTCCAGCTCCCGTGTCACTGGTCGTCTCACGGCTTGTGTCCTTCTCACCGCCTGGGCCACCTGGTGCCCGAGGCCCGCGGTGGGTGGCAACACACCGGTGCACGAAGGAGTCATGCAGCTGCTGGGCCGAAGAAGGGGCGATGGACGGAGTGCGACGTCCGCGGATGTCCGCGGTCCGTTGCTACGTCATCTGGGCCTCGGGCCGATGGGTCGCGTCGTTTGTCACGGTTTCTTGTCCCGGGGCCGATGGAATTTGGAGACCCTTCGAAGCGAAAGTGAAATGCTGACGCATCCCCCAGAAAGAAGTCCTCCTCCCCTTTGGTGTGCCAAAAAGTCAGCATTCTTGAAGGGAGTGTTGGGTGGGTTTTGCACCCTGCTATTTTTTCGGGGGTGCTTTCAAGCTCACCACAGCTTGAGGGAATCTTCTTTGGACATTGGAGGCCCTGTTTGGACCCCTGTCGATCGCCTGACTCGACGAACCTTTTCGGGTGAAGCAAAAGACAATTTTTTCCGGTGGAGGGATGCTTGGGACGCTTTTCGAGCCTTCAGCAAAGCAGCAGAGCGTTTCGAAACTGTTCAGGAACAACCCAGAGATCATTCAAAAGCTCTTCGACCTCAAGGCGGCCATGGGCCTGGGTCGTTGTAGTCTGGCTGAAGGTTTTCAGGGATGTTGCTCGATGTTGCTCGACGCGCTCTTGCCAGATTGCTGATGCCTTCACAAAGGGTGTGGGGAAAGGGTTTTGAGTTTGAACAAGTTCTCTTCAGCTCACATGCATCGCTGGAACAAGGGGCATACACGCTGACGTGGATTAAAACGACTATAACAGTGGAATTGTAGCCAGCGGGGTCCCAACGGCATGGGTGACTTGCATACATTCAGGTCGGTGACTACAGAAGCTCCAGTCATTCCTTTCAGCATAGAACTAAGTTCTAATCTGATCCACATAGAAATGGATTCAGGCGTTGGCACATGATTCCTGAGAGCCCCAACGAGCATTAATATACAAAGAGATGTGGATGAACTACATCCTGATCCCACATTTAAGTTGCATGGTTCCCCCAGATCAGACTGATCAAAGCGGCTGGTCATGCTATAGAAAACTGGCCTCAAGTGAGGTCTTTTATGAGCAGACCAGCGCATGTTGTTTTCATTCTCTGCTGTACTTTTTCCAAATTTACAGATATGCGTTTCCGTTGCACAGGCAGATATCAATATCGAGAGTGGCCCGGACAATCACTTTGCAACACCTTTGGCTATGGCGCTTGAAAGGTGTGGCAGTAAGTCCTCTTCGTGCGCGGGTGGTCACCACGGCAGGTACTTTATAACTAGGCGTACCCACAGAATCCGTAGGAGAGCTCAGGTTTGCTCTTGTGTACTTGGCTGGGTGCAACGAATGAGTTTTGCACCGACAGAAAGAGTTCCACCATCCTGACAGCTCATCGTGTCGCCTCCACCAGCGCCTCCTGGGTAGACACCTGAGTCCTCTTGCCCCAATCGATCGCTGGTAGACTGGTCTATGGTCTGAACCTTCCAGGGCGAACGCCGTTGCTCGGGGGTCAGTCTCCCTATACAGTATGTTAACTATACACACCGTGCAGTCGGAAGATGTCTCCAGGAAGAAGAAGAAGGCTGCAAAGAAGCTGCAGGAGCTCAACGCTTTGGAGAAGGCAGGGCCAAGCAGCGACCGCCCTTGACCGAGTTACTCGCATAGAATTTCCATCGGGTTTCCGTATTCCCTCCGTCAAAAGCACGTGGTGGCCATTCTTTGCTTTAAGCACTGTACCTGAAAGGTGCAAAGGTCTGGAAGAAACACGATTCGATTCCACCGAACCCGGTCCGAACGCCAAGGCTTACGTGTGGGTGCCCTCCTGGATTAACATCGCAGCAGGTTTCGTTTTGTGATTTCGGGTTTGGATGGACCCGAAAAAGCTTGGAGAAGTCGGCCAGTCGGCCGGGCGGGTCTCGTGATCGCCCCTTTGATGATGCAGGTACCAGGAGGCAACCTTCCGGACAGCTTGGAGATTGTGGAGTTCAAGCGACGTGTCAAGGATTCGATGAGCTCTGGAAACAGGTTGTCATGTAGACCCTTGATGAACAAAACCCCAACATATGAATAGGTCAATAGGCTTTTCATTCCAAATCGGGGAGTTGTGTTAATCAAAAGTCTACATCTACATCATTCATTTTGAGCAAAATCCCCAGGTTGGCGACTTTTTTGTGCCTTGAGACACACAAGAAATACACACGAAACATAGAGATGAGGTGAAGTAGGCTTTGAGAAGTCTTGTGAGGGCAAAACGAGCTTGGAAGGTGCAGTCTTGTGTCATCGTATTGCTCGGCCAGGAAAGCACCACAATACAGTGATGACCCCCCATGTGTCAAACCCTCAACGATCTCATCTGTGATTAAAACGAGCGGTTGACCCAGAGACTTTGGTAAAACGATGGAATCTTTGAGAGTGTCGTGTTTATGAGCTCCCCCCCATCGCCGCTCCTTTTCAGGGCAGGTTGGATTTCTTCACCACCCAGACAGAACTTCCGAAGAGTCGTGACACTCCCATTCATCCATGGAGTGTGAGTGGGTCCACCAGTAGCCATTAGATACAGGCCCGTGAGGAAGAGGGAGATTGCAGCCTCTGCTCAACGCTGTAGGGATGGGAGGGGAACTTCCAGGACATGCACCTACCAAAATTGGATGATGTCACTCCGCCAAAAAAACGATTAACAACAAAGTGAACGATGGAGTACCGCTGTAAGTTGTAAGAACCATCAACAACAAAGTGGTTGATGGAAGACCCCTAGAAGTCAATCCCCGAACATGGTCTGGATGGACGTGGTTACTTCTACTTCTTCTTCTTCTTCTTCTGAGTCATCGGTGTTTGGGTTGGCACACGGGCTTTGGAGACTCGGACAGATCGTGTGCATTTTTCGACTGGGCTTCGAAAGCGCCGTAGTGACATTTGAATGCCGGGTCTTGTGTCAAACTTGACCCAGTGACTGTGGGTAAAAGCCACGGAATTCTATTTTAGGAGGCTAATTTTACTGACCAAACGTGAGTTCCCCCCCAATGTTGCTCCCAAAGAGAGGGCACTTCCCAACCAATGTCACAGGTTGGTGGAAACTAGAAGCGCCAAGGAACTTTCTGAAGAGTAGGATCGCATGAGTCTCTTTGCGTTTCCCTCCAGGTACCCTCCCCCTCTCTCGTGCTTTTCACTTCATCTCCCAAGGCTCCGCCGCCGCAGCTTGCGCTGAAGCCAGAATAGGATCTCTTCCGCTTTCGGGGCTTGGACAAAATGCGCAGCTGGATGGGTCGAAAGTACTTTTTTGATCTTTTGAGTTCAACCAGATCAACCTCAGGACCCCGCAGTTGGCGCCCTGCTGGTTTTTGCCCGGTCCTACAAAAAACTTGGCTTCCTTGATGGAGAAGACTTCCCATCACACTGATGTCTTCCCAGGGTGTTTCACCAATACCATTTGTCGACCTGTTGGATGTGGAGTTGGGTCCCGAGTTTTTTGGAGTCGAGAGCTAGAGCCCAGATGGCGAACCTGGGTCACTCCCGAGTAGATTGGATGAGTAGAGCCTGTGGCACCTTGGTGTATTTTCAGGAGAAAGTTGACAACAATTTCAAGACTGACACGCCAATCCTCGCCTTGTGGCAAGATCTTCAAGAAGAACACCAAGTCATTGAGTTGTTTGGGTTCTTCACAATCCTTTGTATTGCCAGTGTTGGAACCTGTGTGCAGGGTAGTGTAATCAGCTGAGATGACTCAAGGGGCAGGTGGCAGCCCTCCAAACTGACTACGTCATGTTTGATTGAAAAGGATGTACCTTGTGGTGTTCTCCCAAAGACTCGTTGCAGAAGACAAGGATGGGTAGATGAAAGGACCAACTCATTGATGCGGAAGACAAGGACCTCTTCACCGTTCCCACCCTGCCACCCTGGTCTCGCGTGAGCCAATACATGCAAGCCAACTGATTCCTACCTAAACGGTAATGAGTGTCGAGCGTGACCAATACACGGGAGGTTGTTGGAGTGGCCTGATCATTCCAAACCAATACACACTCGCATGTCGCATGACCGAAATCTGTTCGCAGCTTATGGGCTCGAAGGACCACGAAAATGGGGTCATCATCCGAATCGAATGGTGGGGAATGGCAGCCCGAAAGAGAAGAAACGTTAGGCAAAATGTTCATGGGAGATGCAATCAATGGGGGTCAAGAATATCACAGAAGTGTCATTCGAAGCTACACTACTTACCCAGTTTTCCACTCCCCAGTCAAACTCTCAAGATGCCTCCCTGGCGCAGCAGACATGGCGGAAATGGTCAAAAAATGTATATTTTTTCAGCAGATCTTGGGCCAGGCGACTTCTAAGCCAAGTCTCTGTGAACGTTTTTTGACCCGAGGATTCTTAACGATTGCTCAGTAGGTAGGTCACACGTGGATCGAAGTCGCCGATTGTCCCTCCCAGGCGGGTCTCAACTGGTGGCTGGATATGTGTTGAAGAGTGGTTGAGGAGTCTTGATGGGGAGTCACATGCATATCGTGTCCTACTTTGGGTTCAGACTCTTTAAATATTCTGCAATCCTACAGTCCTCACCATCTTAATGTGGAGCCTCCTTTGCAACCGGCACGTATTTCTACTCAGCATCATGTTTGTCGTTCTAGGAGGTGCTTTTGGAATCACCCAAGCGTAAAACCCTCCTGACATTAAAGCCTCAAGTTTCGAATGAACATATGAATAGGATTGTCGGCGATGTTGAGCCCATTAGCCTTTCTGGTGGTGCAGGACAGCTAGGACAGCACCCCAACTGGTCGGATGAGGTCCGGCGTTTTCTCACCACACCCATTGTGAATCTTAATGAAGGGCAGTCCCTAAGTAGCTCCTCTTGATGGGGAGCTGAAGCAGGTCCTCCACAGCACTGGTGTTTGTACGCAAAAGCCAAACAATTTCAAAGTACCTGGTAGCGAACCTTGTTTCTAATAGCGTCCTTGTTACTACTAGTAAGGCACCTGTTACTAGTAGCGTGGCACTTGTTACTAGTAGCGAACCTTGTTACTATGGTACGCCTTTTTTTCGATTCCGAACTCGGAAAACAGGGGCACCTCCAAGAGGTAGACGGTGCTGCTGCGTTTTTGGCCGCTGCGTCTAGGCGCATGAAGCGGGAGGCTCCTCGCTCTGAGGACGCCGGGCATGGGGCACCCAGGTGGAGCCAACACAGTGAGTTCGCACTTCAGGAGAGAAAGTACTTAGTCGCATGTGACAAGCACTGGGAGACGAAAAGTATTTCGTTGTCGCATTCGAAGTGATGAGCAAGTTGGGACTCAAAGTCTTTTTTGCTTTCGGGGCGGGTATCTAGGTTTGTTTTGTCCTGTGACGTCTCACTTCTTCGTGCTACTCTGCCGTTGGTCCAAGGCGTCCTGGAAAGCGAGCTCGCAGCCCTACCGGGGGGGCAGGTGTGCTGCTTGGATGGGATGGTTCTGCTCGCAAACGAGCACTGTGTTCGCGAAAGAGATCGAAAGAGCACACCCTTGAAATCGAGAAAGAGGCAATGCTATGGTGAATAAAGGATTGTTGTGTGGGCTGCCACTTTGACAGCTATAACTTCGTACTTGAGGTTTCTTTAGATATGGTCGAACTTTTGGATGGCCAATCTTTCCGCTTGAGAATTGCCTTCTCATCAAGGAAGTAAGGGAACCTGTGCAGACCGCAAAGTACATGTTTGTGGCACAAGCATGCAAAGATGATCAACACCAGTTGCTGGCATGGATGGCAAAAGAGCTTAGTTGATTTGATCCCACCATGGATGGAGCCAATATCTTAATATGGGCAAAAACGGCCTTGAGTGAATCCGTGGGAAACAATCTATTTTGGGGTGCGACTAATTGACAAGAGGGAGTAAAGGATGCAAAGATTTCACACACACACAATTGACATCCCTCGTAGAAAAGGGTATTGATAGTTTTCCCAAATCAAATCCAAACATCTTGGATCCGCGTCTTGATTTTCAACATGAGCCTCACATTTGGGAGCGAGGGTGTTGATCAGTTTTTGATCGGGATTTCACCCTGATCGCATGGGCCAAAGGATGAGGAAGATGACAAGATTATCCCTTAGCTGAAGCTGGGAACTTTGGTATGGTTTCATTTAAACTTCCAAAAATTTGTTGATTTCAAACAAGCTAGCAGTAGCACACATCCCCAGGTGGTTGATCTAGCACCGCATCAGAATTCACCCAACTAGGTATTTGTGCATCGTATTTAGCTTAAGTTAGCTTAAGTTTCCCTGGAAACCAAATCATCAGTGCGAACGCTTCCTTGAAGAAGCATGAGCTATCCTGCATCCTAAGTAGTAGCTTAAGCAAGGTACTAGCTACCTCCTCTACTAGCTACCTACCTCACCTCTAGTAGCGGCCTACCCCCTAAACAGAATTAAAAACGCACGTTCACGATCAACAAGGAAAAACATAAAGGTTGGGTGTTGGGTTTTGGGTCTTGTGTGTTTCCAGAGCCTACTCCGTGCCAGCCGGCCACGGGCCGCATCGTGAACTGGTACCCGCAGAAGGGGTATGGGTAGGGGAGCCAAGAGGAGCAGTACTTGTAGGTCTTGAAATGATATCAGGAGCTCATATCTGGTTTGTATTTTGACGGATTGGAGAGTGTTTACACATCGACTTCAGGATTCTTTTCATTGTTTTTGGGGGGCGATCTGTGAACAGGTCGATACCGATATCTCAAGAGGTGACATTGTCATAGTGGATGAGGGTAGGGACTTGGGGTCACAAAATAAGAGGTTGGCAGGGAGTGCATTGAAAGGAAAGAGGGACCACCAAAGACCATCAGTCAGGGAAACATGAGGGCGACAACAGCAACAAAACAGGCCATTGGTTGGTGTCTCTCATTCACCTTGAGATCTCTGGAGAGAGTGCCTAGGTGCGGAGCCTTTAAGTTCTGAGTGATCCCGGTCAAGAGCATTCAATGACCCCTTTTGTCACCTGGGTCACGCACAACACAATACACTTGAGCAGTCGCCAAATTATATACCTCAAACTTAATCAACTGGGGTGATTATACCTATCTATGACTACCATCTTGACTTTCCTTTGACCAACCTACTGTAAGCTGCTGCGAGATGAACAAAACTACCAACCACCCAAGAGACCAGAGATTCGAAACAAAAGATTCCCAGAATTCCCATGCCTTGTCCATCAACATGACGATCAAATTCACTTGCAGCTTTGAGGTTCATCCAATCCAGTATTTGTCCGAAGGACACTGGCACAAGGGCTCCATGTGGCGCACTGGGTGGTCCTCATGGCACCATGAAATCGTCCACCTGACCATGTTCATTCGGAATTTGACCGATGAGATGCCGTTGATGTTGCTTGACTTTCGTGTTTACCACTTAAAGGGCAGCTGTTAAAGCTGTTGGCCAGACCAGTGTCTGGATTTGTTGAGCCACATCGTGTAGCATGCTTTGGGTGTCTTTAGAATCATCACCTAGCTAGCAGCAGAGTCTCAGCTGCTGGAAAAGGTTTCCTTCCATGTCCATCAGCAAATTACACTAGCCTACGCTTCAGAGATCAGTTGTTTTTTTTGTGACACACATGAGCAACTTTTCCAGTTGCTTTGGCTTTGTTTTGGATGTGTATTGCCAGTTGTTCACACCGCAACTCCATGAACCTCTGAAAAGAACACTCCCACGCTCGGTCAAGACCCCCGTCCAGAACGTCAATTCACCGTGTCCGCGCGCTTAGCAGTCGACCGCTCCAGGATGTCTTCTTCCCCAAAATGGCCCTGCCGCCCGACCTCAAGGACCCCGGGCTTTGGGGCTGAGGTCGGCCTTGAGGAGAGCGGTGGCTGAGGAGCTGAAATTGAGGACCAAGCGTCTGTGGGTTCGGGGGCTGATTGTTGGAGCCACATGGCACATATTGTGAGGTTCGAGGATCGATAGATGGACCATGTGACCATGTCTCGAATCCGTTGCTTCCTTGTGAACAGCAACATCTGTGTCTCGCTCAAACAGCGGGTACCATACCTGCTATAGTAGTAGCCTAGCACTTAGAATATTTACCCTTTCACTTCACCGTTATAAAGAAATAGAGACGGAGGTCCGGGTGAAAAAACGATGCAGATAGAATATCCCTATGCAGATAGAATAGTTCAACATGCACATAGAATATTATGCACCAACGGTTTTAGTATCTCTTTTTGAACACCGATTGATTGATGGCTTTATACTCTTGTCTTTCTGTTTGAATTTTTCAGATGCACAGTCGTTCCAACTGGGGAATATTCTAACTGCAAGAATGTAAGACCCAGTGGTTCAAGAAAATCAGGTATTCTAACTGCATACCCTTAATTTCTGAGTATTCTAACTGCTGGCCTTCTACTATACTGACTTCTTCTTTGCTGCACGCATGAAAGCGCCCACACGAAGCACGTCAGGCATTTTCCCCAGGTTTAGTTCCACATTTGGTTCGGGTCACAAGTGCACGGCCACATCCTCATGCTCCTCATCCTGTTCATCCTCCTCATCCCCAGTTCACGCAGCCGAACACACCAGGAAGTGGAGTTCGAGCGCATGAAGGGCTTGGAGGTGGCGATCCCCGAATCCGCCGTCGTAAGCAGATTCTAATTTGTTAAGATGAAGATCCACAGTGAGGAATTCTTCTGTTTCTGGTATACATGCAACAGTAGAGTGAAGTATACAATTTGGGAGTAGAGTAAAATGAAGGGATGTGCCTGGCCCCCGCAACAGATTTCACGTTTTTCATCCACCCTTCCCTTCCCTTCCCTTCCCTTCCCTTCCCTTCCCTTCCACTTGGTCAGGGTCGAACGAACTTGAGGAGACTTTTCGACAAAGTACAGCCTCCCAGATGACCACCTGCAGGATCTTCACTTCTGGGAACCATCCGTTGGCTCCACGGTCCAACGCAACAGAGGTGAGCTTCACCTTCACCGAGCTCGATGGAAAGCCAAGAGCAGAGGCCATCTACATGAGAGGCGCTCGTGCGCTTTGAGCAGGGGGGGTCGAAGCCGTCCTTTGTACCTTCAGGAAACCACAAATTTCGAGCTGTCTGAGCGTCCCTTCCAGACCAAAGGATGAAGTTGCTGGAAGTCTACTACTCTTCCTTCCGGGGGGTTGTGAGCCAACAGCCTCGTTCATGTGCCAGGAATTTGACCACCTGTCCGAATCTTGCGACACCACTACTATATAAGAATTGTCTGTGGAACCTACAAATGGACAGTGGCGGAAAGAACTCTCATAAACCCACGGAATCCTGAGTTCTGGGTGCCCCAAATGCCTTCATTGTATAAGTTCGTTCTCTTTTTCTTGATAGACACAAATCTGACCCCAAGAATGGTGCGAGGCATTGGCCCGGCCCGGCCCTTGTCTCAATTTCGGCTCCAAGCTTTCGAGGCAGTGCTCCGGTCTTTGACCGTCCTCCACCTCCTCGAGAGCTGCGGGAGATGCACCCAGGTCAGCAGGGCTCACGGTGGGCATGTTTGGTGTAATTGAAAATAGGGAGACAGATCAACCAAAGGGTCTTGGTCTATTTTCATCGATTTTATCTGGTCGAAGAGGGGGTCCTTCTTGGAATGTACACCTATGTCCGGAATGACGGCCCTGTCTTGAGGCACGAACCCCAAGGCACCTGCAGCAACATGTACTTGGTCTTTGGAAGTCGATGAAGCCAAAATGGACTCCGAGGAGGTCGAACAAAGACATGGATCAACATTCAATGGCTTTCGCCATGGCCTTCGGGGTTCGGGGCTTTTGCTTCAGAAGCTCAAACCATGGACTGATCGAAGACAGCAGGAGACTGATTGATGCCAAGGGAACCTTGAAAGGGCGAGGCCCAACATGGCCGGCTTCCAGAAAAAGTGCTGTGAAGTTGTGCTTGGCCATTAAGAAGCCGACTTTAGATAAGTGTAATTGCCATCCCTTCCTGTAAGTTTATGTTCAGTGGAGTGGAGTACTCATGTTCAGATGAATGTCCCGAGTCCCAACCTGAACGAGTGCTCTTCGGACTGCAGATGTCGCGAGAGGCGCCAGGAGAATTGCTGGGAATACCAAGTGACCAATTGGGGCTTCTTGAGGATCCAACGAAGTCAGTTGAGAGAACCAGCAACCTGAGCCCAATCCCCGATTGAACTACCCGAATGGGCCCAGCAGTCTTCTTTGGCGGGTTGTACGTAACAGGTGAAGTATTGAATCGCACACGCCTCAGGCAAACAATAAATCGAGCCATCGTTTCAAGCTGTCCGTGGGCAGGTGACAGACATGAAGAGCCGGCGGACTCGGCGGGTGGCAAAGGTCTAGCAAGCTTTGAAGAGATTTAGAAACAGACTTTAAGGAACATACTAGCAATGGCCTCCAACCTGCTACTAGTGATGGCCTCCAACCTACAAGCGATGGCCTCCAACCTTCTAGCGATGGCCTTTAACCTAGCAAGCTTAAAGACACTGGTTTTTGCATTGACAATCCTTTAAGCAGGGGAGTGTGAAAGAAATCCAAACCCTTGAGAGTCAGGTTCAATCAGGGTGTGCATCTCTACCGTGGAAAATCTTGGCGCAAAGATGAAAGACACCACGAAGGGTGATGTTGAGCGAGGGATCACCTTCAAGCGTTTTCTCCAAGACAAGTCCTGGGCCTTTCACCGTCGACCCATGGCAAGCTCCACGATCTGAACATATCGGAGATTCGGTAGGGGTCAGATCCAACACCCTTCAAACCCGACCCTTTTAAAGCAACCTGTGTGCAGGGTTTGTCACGTTTGGTTTGCTGGCCACAGCTCATGACATGTACTGGTGCCATGGGAGTGAGATGAATCATTATATAGGTGGTACAAACCCAATTTGCTTGCCCAGGTTTGGGAAAAGCCCCGTATTCATTGCATCCAAGTGCTTCACAGAAGATGGCACGAAAAACAACAGGGGCAACACCCTGGAGCTGAAAGAGTTGTGATGGACCATAAATGACCACGATACTTCTGTTCACCTAGCTGCGACAAAGACGGTGGTTGAACAACAAATGCAAGCCATCACAGGTACTTGCAGTATCAAAACAACCAAGTGGCCAATCTATCAGCTCAACCGTACTCAACCAATCAATCAACGAACCGATCAACCAATCGCCAAACCAATCAACCAAACACGGCCTGTTCGAGCCGAAAGTTCCTGGACGTCGGACGTACTGACCGAATCTTCCGAGGCGGCCGCCCATTCACAAAGGCACTTTGCGGTCATATGATGCCAAGAAGGCGGGGGCTTCGAAATTTTTCAACTGAACAAACTCGCTCGGTGGTGTTTCTTCGGGGATGTCTGGGTGCATTTCACCCATCGGGGTGGTGCCTCATAGTTCCAAAGGGTTGTTTACGACTGTTCATGGAAGGAGTAACAAGTGCCTTACTAGTAGTAACAAGTGCCACGCTAGTAGTAACAAGTGCCACGCTAGT